TTTCAGAAATGGAGAATACTCATCTCAAGGACCAAAGCAACCATCAACTCAATTTTATCTTATCAATAAAGGAAATTATGCTTATCATTGCAAAGATACAACCCAGTTTAAAAGCCTTGGCAGCAGTATTCTAAAACCATATATTACTCCATGAAGCTATTCCTGTTTCTCTATAAAATGCAATGCGACCCTGATTTTCCAGAAAAGGTTGGGGTTCTCTATTACTGGGAAAAAAAAAAAAGAGAAAAAGAGATGGCTTAACAAATATCTATACTTTCACATTTTTTTGGAACTTATAACACTCTAAACACATAAAAATTTCAGAAACATAATTCATTTTAACTTAAAGAGTTATATATTTTTTGTAAAGAATTAATAATATATAATTTTGCTCTGTCAGGATTCTCTTGAACATCCAAGTTGCTGTTATCTTTTCCCCCTCCCTCTTTTCTTTTACTTTCCTTTCCTTAAACAACTTTTATATGAAATTAAGATATGCTATATTATATTATATTTATCAAATAAAGTTTGATGCCTCATCTTCTGATTTAATGTTTTCCCTTAGAATCAGCTGTCTACATTCTAAAATAAATAAATTAACAATTCCCCAAAGCTGTCAAATCAGATAAAAATGTCTTTTCTTTCCTTTAAAATTTCCCAAAAGATCCAGTGACAGTAATAGCTGCATGGTATTATGCTCAAAAATTTTATTATTATGTAATAAAATCATAGATAATAATGAAGCTCTCAGATAATCCCACTATTTGAAATAAGGCAGGGGCAATCTGCTGGGTAAATTTCGTTAAATTTCCTTCTATGCACCTCAGAAACTATGGCCTTTGCTCCTTCTGTTTGCAGTTTATTTATTTACCAGATGCCTGCTATGTGCCAACTCCTGGCATAAAAGAATAAGATGCTGCCCTGAAAAAACTAACACGCTAGCCAGGAGACCAGCTGAGTTCGGGGACTGGCAAATGGTGATGTGACTCTGTACTCTGTGCTTTGGGAGTCCAGAATAGAAAGTGATTAATTTTCTTGGTAGGGATAACAGATAAGCAAAGAAATAGTACTGGCCATTCCTGCTTGCCCTCAAACTTTTATCCCACTTACAAAGAAATCTGAATATTTGGAATGAAAACCAAAGCAAGAGTTTTGATAACCTCATGTCAGTTTAAAAATATAGAGTTTGTACTATTCTTTTTCTTAACCTTCATGTGATATTTTTATCCTATAAGTTGTCTTTACCTAATGCCTTAGGGAACCATCTCCAGACAGTTCCCAAACCTCATTTCATTTTATCTATTTTATTTAATATCTTTTCCATACCAACATTTTTTGAATAAGGCATTCTCCATGATTTGGGTTTCATGACCATTTTCTTCCTTTTATTATTATTATTTTTTGGTCTCTACAGAGGTCCGATGGTACAATGAGAATAAAAAAGATTTTATCATAAATCTTGGCTCTTGTGTTTACTTACTGCTTAACCTAGGGAAAGGTACTTAATATTACCGAGACTCAGCTTTCTATTCTGTAAAATGGGAATGATAATACCTATCACTTGGTTTGCTGTGTGGATTAAGTAATCAATATAAACCACTTAGTACAGAGCTTGGCAGATAGTGCTTAAAACAACACATTATAACCATCATTTGCTGGTATTCTTAAAACAATGATGCACTAAAATGCCTAAACATTTGATATCAGACAAAAATACTAAGATGCTAAAATAATTCACAAAATTGATAGTGAACTCATAAAAATTGCAGTTGGCATTAATTCTGCCAAAAAAATCACAAAACAATTTCTGAAGGAGAATTGATGAAACCAGTGATCTGATGATCTCTGCTGCCTCAAAACATTTTCTCTACAAGAAGACTAAGGCAGGCCGGGCACGGTGGCTCACGCCTGTAATCCCAGCACTTTGGGAGGCCGAGGCGGCTGGATCACGAGGTCAAGAGATCGAGACCAGCCTGGTCAACATGGTGAAACCCCGTCTCTACTAAAAATACTAAAAATTAGCTGGGCATGGTGGCACGTGCCTGTAATCCCAGCTACTCAGGAGGCTGAGGCAGGAGAATTGCCTGAACCCAGGAGGCGGAGGTTGCGGTGAGCCGAGATCGCGCCATTGCACTCCAGCCTGGGTAACAAGAGTGAAAACTCTGCCTCAAAAAAAAAAAAAAAAAAAAAAAAAAGAAAAGAAAAGAAAAAAAAGAAGACTAAGGCAAAGACAAGCATTTAAATATGGTCTATCAGGATTCCCTGTTAGTCTAGCACCCCTGTGAAAAGCAACTGGAACTGATGCCCAGATTGGCCCTGCCTTGGATCCACTTTAGGTGTCATAATTTATCACCCAGTTCTATTGCTTTTACCACTTTATAATATCCTTAATCCACTCTCTCTGTTCATCTCCTAGATTACTGCTACAGTCTCATGAATGCACCAGCTTCCATCAGTGCCTCCAACTTAATTTTTTCCAGAGAGACTTTTTTCCAAAATGGATGCTGAGTAACTTACCCTTCATTACTTCATTTAACTCAGTCTTTATAATTTACAGAATCAATTATTACTTAAGGATAACGCTTTTGGAATCAGATAAGCAGGGTTTATGTTCTTCCCCTGCCATACACTTGCTTGTGTGATGTGGACAAATTTCTTAATTTTTTGAAGCTTCAATTCTCTTTTTTCTTTTTCTTCTTTTTTTTGAGACAGAGTCTCACTCTGTCACCCAGGCTGGAGTGCAGTGGTCTGATCTCAGCTCACTGCAACCTCCACCTGCCAGGCTTAAGCTATTCTAGTGCTTCAGACTCCCAAGTAGCTGGGACTACAGGGGTGTGCCACCACGCCCAGCTAATTTTTTTGTATTTTTAGTAGAGATGGGGTTTTGCCATGTTGCTCAGGCTGGTCTTGAACTACTGAGCTCAGGCAATCTGCCTGCCTTGGCCTCCCAAAGTGCTAGGATTATAGATGCGAGCCACCATGCCTAGCCAGTTCTCTAATTTGAAGTGAAAATAAAATACCTCCCTCCCTCTAGGGTTTTTGTAGTGACAGAGACCTTAGCAGTGTGTCTTGCATTCAGTAAGCACTGTCTAAATGTTAGCAGTGCTGTTATTTATCACATACATCTTCAGAAACACCTAGGATCCTAGGCTTCTTATAGTTACCACCTACTCGTCACCCATTAGTACTAACATTTATAAACGAGCTCCCCAGAAATATTAATTGTAACCTTAAACCGTCTATTTTGACTGAAATACAGCATATAAAGAACTGTGGCATTTCTAAGAATCTGAAGCACACTAGAACACTTGTTTACCCAAGCAAAGCCTTAGGAAGTGTTTAAAAATGGATAAATCTTGGGTAATGGACTCTGGGATTCCACAGGTTAAAAAATTTCATAAGACATTAGAGGAGAAACCGAAGAGTCTACAAAATCCAAATGAATTAAAAACAAAAAACAGAGCACTCTGGAAAAGGAGACACACATTTGAAAAATGGAAAGAAGAGGGAGAAGCTTAGACCCAGTAGAAGGGTTGCAAATACTACCAACCACATGGCCAGGCAAGTAATGCGTGAAGCCTTCTGAGTGAAAACCGGAAATGCCTCCTAGCTAGGTGCCTGCCATCCCGCTCTGGCCTTTTGGAGTCATGTGGGATTGAGAACACAGGATTGCCTCCCCTGACCCCCAAATCCAGAAATAGAGATTTTTTAAATCTAAAATTCTCTAATATTTTAGTGTATTTGGTGTAGAAAATTTTAAAAACTATTTCAAACTCTGTGTGAACTAAACAAAACTTGTGTGAACTAAACAAAACTTGTGTGAAAGCAAACCCAAATATTTCTTTTATAATAACAGAGGTTTTTGATATAGATTTGGTTGTCAAAAGGGGAAAGCAAAGAGACAAAACTGACATTTATTAGCCTCCTACCAACCTGCTGCCCAGGCTGGAGTGCACTGGCATGCCTGGATAATTATTTTTTATTTTTAAATTCTGTGTAGAGATGGACGTCTCACCCAATCGGTTGTCCAAACTCCCGGCCTCAAGTGATTCTCTCACCTCTGTCTCCCTAAGGGCTGGAATTACAGGTGTGAGCTACTGCTTTGGGTCATGGCTTTCATTTAAAAAACCCATTTGATTGTCACAGTTTGTTAGGAAGGAAACATTGTTGTCATTTTCCAGATGAGGGAATTGAGCCCACGGAGGATTGAGAAACTTACTCAAGGCCACACAGCTGGGAAATGGTGGTGAGGGCAAGACAGAATTCATATTTAGATCTTCTCCACCCTAAAACTCCACCATTGCTCTGGTGGGCATAAAAACTGACCTTGCAGATCTTCAGCTAATGGGACCGCAGTTTTTCAAGGGGCTGGTGCTGAGCTCTGAAATCCATTATACTTTTGCACAGAAGTTACACCTCCCACAGCGGTTCTCAGCCAGTGACTGGGCCTGGTCTGCAGCTGGGAGATCTGAGACTTGGCTTAAGGACTCCCTGAAGGCCTTTCTCAGCCTCCCCTAGACTGTAGGGTATTCTAGTATGCTCCTACACATTTTCTCTTTCTTTTCTTCACCGGTGTCAGACTTAACTTGCAATCTGAGGGCTCTCCCAATCTTTTCCAGCCAACTCCTAGTTTCTTTCACAGATGTTTCCCTTAATAAAACTCATACCCTTTATCCATCTGGGTGTCTGCCTCTTGGAGGACCCTGACTAACACAGTTGCCAAAAGCCCCCACCAAAGGCCCTGAATGTGCCTGGGAAAACGTGACCTAGTTTATCTGGAAATCCCGAACAGACCTATCAGTCTGCAAGGGGAAATGCATCCATCCAATAATGATCCTTTCTCTAAAAACTGCCACCTGTAATTTCTCATATCAGTTCTGACATCTCAGGAATATATTAAATCAAGAGTGATGTGTCAACACCACCACCAACAACCAGCCAGACATCCAGGAGCAGGTGACAGTCCGAGCTGAGGCAGGATCCCACTGTGGCACACTCACCTGGTCACGCTGCTTTATTCGTTTGTAAATATATTCAGCAAATGGTTTTCGAGGAATAAACTTCCCATCTCCTGCTGTGACACTGAACACTCCAGCTTCATACACCACTTTGCCTCTTGAAATAGTCACCAGGGGCACCCCATGGCAAACCATGCCCTCAAAAATGTTGAAGTTAACAGCCTGATGATGAGTTTTTGCTGAGATAGTCCTATATTTGTACAAACAACAAAAAAGTTCCGGATCATCACCAGCTCACTTGATGAATATAAAATATCAAAAGAAGAATGACTTAGAATAAAATTTAGCAACTCTATTAAGTCATTGCTTCATCACCGTAACAAGTGACTTTAAGAATAGAACATAACATTAACATTTCATTACAAAGTAATCACATTTTTCTGAGAGAAAAACCCAAGAGATCATTCTTTAAGGTGATTAATGAGGATGGAGTGGGTGGAAGAAGGGCATTATCTTTTATGTTCAGATTTTAAAATTATTTTTATTTATATGCTGACAACACATTTTTTTCATTTTTAAATTATAAAGTATTTTTAAACGCAGATGACTGATGAACACAATGACCCCATATCCAGCTTTATGAAATTTTAACTTTTTGTAGATACAATGGAGGTGTATTTAATACCCCTTCCCAAATCCCATGCCCATTCCTGCCTTCCCAAAGGAAATAGCTATTTGATAGTTATCAAACTGGATTTGGTAGTTATCAAGGAAAATTATGTATATAATTTCTTTCATTGTCTGCAGCAAAACTAGAAATTTGATGATAATAGAAATAACCAAATATGTTGGAATATAGTATCTTAGCATATTCTATGTCATACATTTGTCATCATTCTCAGTAGTTTATTAATACTTTTCAATCTTACACAATATGATTGACAATTTTCAGGCTGGGTATTTGAAAATGCTGCATGCCTCCTTTCTTAAATCTCATTAAATAAAAAAGAGAAAAAAAGGTAGCAGTGAACCATATGAGCATAATCTGAGTCCTTTTTTTCTTTTAAATTTTTTATTTTCATCGGTTTTTGGGGAACAGTGGTGTTTAGTTACATGAGAAAGTTCTTTAGTGATGATTAGTGAGATTTTGGTGCGCCCATTCCCCGAGCAGTGTTCGCTGAACCCAATGTATAGTCTTTTATCCCTCACCCCTTCCCACCCTTTCCCCGAGTCCCCAAAGTCCATGATGTCATTCGTATGCCTTTGCATCCTCATAGCTTTGCTCCCACTTATGAGTGCGAACCTAAGATGTTGGTTTTCCATTCCTGAGTTACTTCACTTAGAATAATAGCATAATCTGAATTCTGGTAGAAGGTTCTACAATCCCTCTCAGGAATGGATTGAAGAGACACATTTGGCTAAAATCCTCAAGGCTGAGTGAGTCTAAGGGAGAGTAGCCCAAAGTCCTCCCAGCTTATTTGGAAGGGCTGAAGAGAAAGCCCTGGCTGCTGTGTGCAGCAGTCCTAGAAATGATCAAGATGACACTGGCCTGGTCCATAGTCCGACTGCTTACTTGGTTTCCAATTCTAACATGCCCAGTCAGAATTCTTGACTTTTAATTCTGACCACAACCCACCCACTCGAGTTTGCTCCTCCTCCTCTTCTCAGTAAATGACATCACCATCTATCTTTCCTCACCCTTCAAACCAGCATCAAGCTACTTTGTCTTACCTCCTCCTAAAATAAACTCCCTCGCCTCCTCTCCATGGCTCCCACTGGAGTCTATACCATCGTCTTCACCTGAAAAACCCCAACACCTCTTACTGGCTTCTTTGTTTCAGCTCTTCTGCATTTCTTACCACTCTCCACAAAGCTGCTCAAATTATCTTTTAAAAATGAAAATCAGCTCATGTCACTTTCCTTCTTGAAACCCTCAGTGGCTCCAGGCTGTTACCCAAGAGCCAAATAGCTGTAAAAAAAAAAAAAAAAAAAAAAAAAAAAAGCACGGTGATGATAATAAAAAAGAATCTGCTCCCAGTTAGAAACGGGAAAAGAGAAAGAGGAGCATCCAGTATATCGGGGGGATCACTCATAATATCTCATTCCATCTTTACAACTCCTCTCTAAGGTAGAGAATATTTTCCACATTTTACAGGAAAAGTAAATTGAGATTTAGAAAGGTTATTTCACTTACCAAAGGACATATGACCAGTTTGATGAAATGGGGGCTTTTTTATTTTTATTTTTATTTTTTTTTGAGACAGGGTCTTGCTCTTGTTGCCCAGGCTGGAAGTACAGTAGTGCGATCATAGCTCACTGCAATCTCTACCTCCCCAGCTTAAGCAATCCTCCCACCTCAGCCTCCCAAGTAGCTGGTATTACAGGTACGTACCACCACACCCAGCTAATTTTTGTATTGTTTTTGGTATAGACAGGGTTTTGCCATGTCACCCAGAATGGTCTTCAACTCCAAGGCTCAAGCAATCCACCCACATTGGCTTTCCAAAGTGCGGGGATTACAGGCATGAACCACTGCACCTAGCTAGAAACTTACATCTTTTTATATTTTTAAAATTTTTAATAAAAATGACTTTGTGGTGTACATTTCCATGATTGTTTACACATAGATTTGTGTTACCATCACAACAATTAAGACACAGAACAGTGCTGCCACTCCTCCAGACTGACACTATCCCTTTGTAGTCACGCCCTCCCCAATCCCTAACACCTGGCAACCACTGAGCTATTCTTCATCACTGTAGTTTTCTCTTTTCAAGATTGTCATATAAGTGGAATCACAGAGTAGGTAATCTTTTGAGACTGACTTCTTCAATTCCACATCAGTCCTTTGAGATTCATCCAATTTGTTGCGTGTATCAATAGTTCCTTCTTTTTTGTTGCTGCATAGTATTCCATGGTATGAACATACCACAGTGTGTTATACATTCACTCACTGAAGTCCATTTAGGTGGTTTCTAAATAGTTTTTTGATGAATATGAATAGAGCTGTTATAAACATTCGGGTCCACGTTTTGCATGAGTATTTCTCTAATGTAAATACCCAGCAGTAAAATTGCTGGGTCATATTTTAAGTGTTTGCTGCAGCAAAAAGAGCTTTCAGTGACCTTAGGAACCAACTTACTGATACAAAGAAATGTTAAATAATCACCAAGGAGCAGGAGGCAGGTACAAACACAACAATAATTTCAAACACTAAGGAGGAGGGAAGGGTATTAATCAAGTGGTAAGTAATGTCACTAAAACAGAAAAGTGAAGAAAATATTTAAAGGAATACTAAGTATAGAATGAGTTATGTTGAATTATGGTAATGAAAGGTACAAACTCAAAGAAAATAAAGCAGGAAACAATATAGAGGGGCTTCAGACCTTCAGGGTGAAAGGACTTTTTACAGTCATTACAATCTGCCAAATATTTCCATAGCCTGAGTTGCTGCATTCCTACACATCACAGTTATATTGATGGCAGGCACTCTGGGGATTGTATTACAGCATGCTATATAAAGATTTTTGGACTGATGTATTAGTAAGGCTGTATATAAAGAAAGTGAAATGAATTAAAAATTGTGCTGAAATGGTTATCTGAAGTACATGAATGGGAGGAAAAAAGAAATTCTTAAGAGTTAATGAAGCTCGTAGGAAAAACATCTAACAGAATAAATAAGCTTTATACACAAAGATTGTCATTACAAGGCTGCCTAAATTAAAAACTGAAGCATAACTATTTTCCAATGTCTATCCTATAAATATTAGGCATTTATGAAAGACTAGAATTAAAAATACTCTTGGAAGCAAAAACCCTGACAATTATGTAATATTAAATGGAAAAACAGTGATAGAGTATGTACATTATGTCTACCAGAAAAATAGATATGCATATGGGCAAATACAAGGGGGAATATACAAAGTAGCTTTTTGTGGGCTAAGAAAAGAAAGATGGTGGATTCCAAGTATTGAGTTCTTGTTATTCTGTTTTCTTAATGTAAGTTGTGATTTTAAAATGAGGTTGACACAGCAAAATATCAAATCAGATTTCTTTGCCTCATGCCAAAAAAAAAAAAAGTCATTACCTTGACTTTCTTAGCCGTGGGGTTAGCAAGAGAAAGAGGACAATTAACAATTAGTCAACATCTAAGACATTCTTTATAGTAAGTCATTAGGTAAATGAAGTCAAATTAACACAAAATGTAAATCTGAGGCATTATCACCAGCAGCACAAGGAATGTGCTTCCACTTTCACATTGGAAGGTGTCTGACAGGGTGTCGTTCGTCATCCAACTTTTTCCTTCCAGCTAAAGCTGTAATTCTCCAAACTTAGGAGCTTTCACACTTCTGAATCCTTGCACATGAAGCTCTCTTTTCCCTAAATGTCCTCCTCATTTCTGCCCTCTCCCTTCCCTAAAACTCCATCCAAGAATCCTGGTCCCTAGGAGCTGACCTTAACGACTCCGGGTGAAACTGAGTTTTTTCCTCTGTCGTTCAGCATTATCTGAATGTATTACGATGATCTCTTGTCAAGGCTCTCTCTTCCTACTTGGTGCACACTTGAAGACACAGACTAGGTTGGTTTAGCTTCAGCACATACTAACTAAATGCTTTATAAATGTGTACGGGATGATCAAATAAAAAGATTGCGTGATTGTCCTCCTGTTTAGTCAAGTCGGTTTAAATTCCTGCTTCCACTGAACTCAGACATGACTGTGTTTCGGAAATAGAACACTGAAGTAAATGAGAGGTAAACATCCATTCCATTTCTGTTGGGTACCCAATATTTCTAGCATGCTGTGCAGGTTAATTAGTAATGAATAAATAAGTAAACTTGGTATAACTATTATTCTTAGTGGCATCTTAGCTTATATCAAATACTTGTTCATTAATACCTACAAATGCTTGGCAATTCTAATATTACCAGCTGTAATAAGCACATAGCTCAGCATTATTACTTCGTTTCCCAGATGATAATGCTGAAATAGAGCTGTCTCAGAACTTGCCCAAGGTTCATATAGCTTAATATTGAATGAACTTTCAACTTTTGATAATACTGTAATATTTGTAACCCTGCCATAAGAAAGTTTTAAAAAATTGTAGTATATTTTCAATATTTAATTATAGACAGTTTTCAACATAAAAATACAATGCAATATCATCACATAATTTATCAGATTATTACAAAACATTATTTAAAATCCATGCATTTGCTATACAGTATGGGATACGTGGTCCATTATTGGAA